CCAAGGAAAGGAGTGAGATTCAAAGGGAAATCTGAAATGAATTCAAAAAATATTCGGAGAATTCTTATTGCGGAAAATTTCAAGGTAATTCCGAGCAAAACTAAAAGAAATTTGAATTCGTAGGATATTTTAATCGAAATTTTGAGGAATATTTCAATGGAAATCTCCGTTGAATATGGAATGGACTATTCTGAGGTCTTCAAAACTACTTGAAAGTTCCCAAAATTGTCCTGCCTTGAAGTTCTTTTGTAGTTTGAGAGACTAGAGGGACAATACTACTTCTCATCAAAGGACTTCTTATAGTTTCCTCGATTTTCTAACGATCATGGTTTAAAATTCGCTGAAGTTCTCAAAACTTATTTAAAATTTATGTGACTTCTCTAATGTTAACGGAACTGAGGTTCTCTGTTCTTTTATGAGATTCTCTAAAGTTTTTGCAGTTCTCATGAAACTTATTGTACTGCATTGAATTAAATTGAACCGTCCTAAAAATGTTAAAGCTTCCGTGAACTTCTGAACTTATGGAAAGACCTCTATTAACTTTTTAACTTATCTGAAGTTATCTGAAAATCTGGGAACTTACTGTTTTAAATTTCCCACTGATTTCCAGAAACTAATGGAACTGACCTCCTCCTGAAATTCCTTCAATTTTCGGAGCTTACAAACTTCTTTCAAATGCTCCCGCATTTTGCTAATGTTCAAAACAATTCTTGAAGTTCGCGGATCTTCCCTTAAGATCAATATATTTCTGTGAAGTTCTCGAATTATAACGAAATAATTAATATAGTTCTATGATTTTCACTGAAGTTCTCAAGATTTTTCTGAAGTTCATGAAACTTCCCTTGAATTAGCGGCACTTATTGAAAACTTCTTCAATAGTCTAATAATAACAATAATAATAATGTTTAATAATCTGGCAAATTTTCTGATCTATATATTCATAACTCCCTGACACTTCTGACGTTTTCGGATCAAACATAGAATTCTTGGAATACCCCATAATTCCACGGAATTCCTTGTAAGTCGCTGCAAATTTGCATAGGATAAAGGGTGTCCACGATGAAATTGCCACACTATGAAATTGCTCTAACTTTTTAACCGTTGGGTAGAATTTAATGAAAATTTGGGTGGATTTAGTTCATAGTGCATTATTTACATCCTGCAAGTTTTAAAGTCCTGTGATCAAAACTCGCGGAAATGGAGTCGAAAGAACAGCTCGTGCGTGATAAAATCTTGCGCATTCATCACGAGAACAAGGATCTCTCGCATCGTTCCATCGCTAAAACGTTGGGAATCGCGAATTCCACGGTGTCGCGAGTGATTAAGCGGTTCGAGGAACGGTTGACCACCGATCGGAAGCCCAGAAGTGAAGGAAAAAGTATTCCGTACAACACCAAAAATCACAACCGCGTAGTTGGGGCCTTCAACCGAAATCCGAACGCCTCCGTTAGGGATGTGGCTAAGAAGCTGCACCTAAGCCGAAGTTTTGTCCAGAAGGCCAAAACTAAGGCTGGGCTTCGAACGTTCAAGAACGAGAAGCAGAACAAGTCCGCCAAAACCCGTGCCAGGAAGTTGTACCTCAACATGCTGACAAAAGTTGAATGCTGCATCATGGACGACGAAACATATGTGAAGGCCGACTTCAAACAGATCCCCGGCAACCTGTTTTTCACGGCCAAGGATAAGTTCAGCGTTCCGGAGCATGTCCGCACTCAGAAGATGTCCAAATTTGCGAAGAAATTCCTGGTTTGGCAAGCCATCTGCACGTGCGGGAAGCGGAGTGCACCTTTCGTGACCCAGGACACGATGAACGGACAGGTGTACATAAAAGAGTGCCTCCAGAAGCGGCTGCTTCCTCTCCTGAAGGCCCACAACGTCCCAACAATCTTCTGGCCGGATTTGGCCTCATGCCACTACTCCAAGGACGTGCTGAAGTGGTATGCGGACAATAAGGTCAATTTCGTGCCGAAAATGTTCAACCCTCCCAACACTCCGGAGCTCCGCCCCATCGAGAAGTACTGGGCGATTATGAAGCAGCACCTTCTTAAACGACCTAAGGTAGTGAAGACAGTCGAGGAACTGAAGAAAGTATGGGTTTACATACAAAAAACGGTTGATTCACAGGTTGTGCAGAATCTTATGGCCGGGGTTAAGGCCAAGGTGCGGGCATTTGCGTATGGACTGTAAATAAAATACGAGTAAAATGGTAAAATGAAGTTTAATAGTTATTTCTCAATCCCTGAAAATTTGATGGCAATCGGATGAAAACTCGAATTTTGCGAATCAATTTTGTGTGTGGCAATTTCATCGTGGACACCCTTTAATGGGATTGTTCTGAAGCTATCTGATCTTCCTCGAAGTACTCGGAACATCGCTGAATATCATGAAACTATCTAAAAATATCTAAATTTATTAGAATTTCTCTGGAATTTCTTCGCTGCTTGCTAAAAGTTCTCGCATTTTTTTTTAATGAATGGAACTACGTTGATGCTCTACATTCAACTAAGCTAAATTTTCGCATTTTTTTGAAGTTCTTGAAATCTCTATGATATAACATCCTTAAAATACTCTTACGTTTGTTTATCACGTTTCAGAAATTCTCTCGGAGCTTTGTTGAAGTTTCCGGAAACTTCATGAGATTCTCGAAACTTCTTTAAAGTTTCCAAAACTTTATTGAAATTATTTGAACTGCCCTTTGTTTCTCTGGTCTGTCTTGATGTTTTAGAAACTTTGCTATATCTCTCAATTCTATTGAAGATCTCGGTTCTCTGGGCGTCTGTGAAGTTCCTGAAATATTTCTGAAATTTTCATAAATTCTCTGAAGATCTCTGTGCTTCCCTGAAATTCTCGGAACATCTTGGGGGGTCTCGATTTTTTTTTCGAGCACTTCACGGAACTATCTTGAATTTTCCTTAATCTACGATTATAGATCATTAAACTGCTCCTAAATTCTGGACTAAAGTTACCGGAACTGCTCTTAAGATATGAAATTCGCCAAAGATCTTTAGATCTAGCTGATATGAGGTGCTTAGAACTTCTTAAAAAATTGCACAATACCTCTCAAGTTTTCTATATTTCTCAAGTTCGCTTGACACCTGTGAAGCTCTCTGAAATTCTAGGAACTTCATAAAAGTTGCTGAAAATTTTCGGATGCTAAGAGAACCGTTTTGAGGTTCTTAAAACTTTCAGTAAATTCCCCATATTTTCAGCATTTCCTTTCATTCCTTAGAACTTCTCCAAAGTTCCTACAATTGTTGTGAATTTAATGGTACTGTAATGAACATCTCTAATCTTTCATAAATTGAATTACGAATTTGAAATATATCATTTTATTTTTCCATAATTCTGGCGCTCTGAAAATGTTGTACATGGAATACGAACCTTCAATCTTGATCTTGGACTTACTGAATTTAAGTAAGTTTTTTTTTTAAACTTTATTAAAGTGAGAAATGAAGTAGGTGTTAAACTTCAACATTCAATTGATTTGATTCTAAAGCTGCTTCTTTAAAACTGATTGTCATGTCTTAAAATCGTTTGTGTTAATTCCTGTTGTTTTAGATCTACAAAATAAAACACATTTTTTAACCCATCTAAAAAATAGCTTTCTTATTATAAGCCTGGAATTTATCCGTTAAAGTTCTGTAAAACCCTAGAAAACACAGGTTTTTTTTTAGAAAAATGAATAGACACCTTGTAGATAGAGAAAGACGATATAAATTCACGCTAAAAAAGTTGAAAATAGTGACTGATTACAAAAAAAAATGGCTTTAGTGACTTGGCCTTAAAAAAGGAGACTGTCTGTCTGTGACTGTCGTGAAAAAAGTGACCAAGTCACTAAATAGTGAACGCTACCAGCCCTGATAGGTGACAATGAACGCTGGAGGATTCAAATCATAGATATTCAATTATGAGGCCTCCCTTAGCTCAATCGGTAAAGGCGCAGCTACAAAGCAAGCCCATGCTGGAGGTGGCTGGGTTCGATTCCCGGTCCGGTCTAGGAATTTTTCGGGTTGAAAAATTTCTCGACTTCCCTGGGCATAGAAGTATGATTGGATTTGCCACACAATTATACCAATGCAAAAATGGTACAGGCATTGAAAGCTCTCAATTAATAACTGTGGAAGTGTATCTAGAACACTAAGTTGAGAGCACGCAATAAGCTAATATGCGATATACAATAAGCTTGAAATGCGAAGAAGAAGAAGAATATTCAATTATCGTGGACCTCAGAAAGAATTTCGAGACCGTTTACTTGGATACATTTTCAGAATTTTAAGATTTTAAAAAACATTCATGGACATTTTTAAAATCCTCGGTTTACACGATAAAGCACTAAATTTCAAATTCAATGATTAAACAAATAAATTCATGATGTCATGATTCAAAATTAGGAAATTTCGAAACAACGAATTATCACATCAAAACTGGCAGCACTGCCTTCTGAGAAAAAAAAAATACCATAAACAAACCTCCACCGACATGAACCATCCAAGCATATAAATACCCGATACTTTTCCCCAATCTTGACCTGTAGTTTTGGATCGAAGCCCACCGTATGTAGGTATGGGAATGGAGGGGATGATGCAGTGTGAGCGAAGAAAATTAAATTCTACCGTGCGGTTGGTCGTGTTTCTCACTCAGCCATTTCCCCATTTACCTGAACTGCGCCCCCTGGTCGGTGACTGTGTAGTAGAGAACGGCATACACGGCCGAATGAACCAACTCAAATTTGAGTTTCGTTCAAATTCGCAAAACCGAAGATTACTCATAGATTTTCCTCGATTTTCCAGGAAAAACTGTTCGAATATGTTTACTCAGCCTATGAGTAACCTACGTTTTTTGCTATTTATAGAGAAACACCACTCAATTTTGAGTCGTTCTCATCGGGCGTGTATGGCGAAAACCACACCGACTCTCGACTGCACTATGGGTGGAATGGGAAAGGGTAATAGACACGTGGCAAACCCATCCTCTCATACACTCCTAGTATCGGTACTTACCATTTCGTGAGACGTCCAACTCGACCAGATTTTCAAAGTTCTGAATGTCCGAGGGTAGTTTTATAATCTCATTGTCACTGAGACCGAGCTTCCGCAGCCGATGCAGCCGAAAGAAGTTCTGAAATGGAAGAAGAAAACAAGGTTAATGCCGGAAAAATTGTAAACAAATTTACACCTAGGGTAAAGCAACGGAATGGATGGACAGTAAATATGCGATGTGGTCAGACGGGCAGACAACGTGCAAGCTGTTTTTGCCAAACGAAGCACAACTTTGTGGTGTTGTGGTTATTGTTGTCATTCGTCGCTTTGCTCCACCACCACCGTCACGAGGTACTCCGTCACAGCTTTATCCATTTAAATTTGGGACACGACATTGAAAATTCATTGTTTTACCGTCAAGGTGCTACTGCGATAAAACACATAAATTGGTTGAGTTGCGATAAAACATAAAAGGGTTCGTCGGTGGGGCTTGAGGCGTGAAGGGTGTCGCGCCCTTCACCGCCCTTTTTAGTCAGCAAAATCGTCGTCGTCGTCGTCGTCGTCGTCGCCATCACTGTCACCGAATCCAGTGTTATTGTTTGAAGTTTTGTAGTAGTAGCGGCTGTAAAGTGATACAGAACCATGAAGGTCTGCTGATGTGAGTTCCAAAATTGGACTTGATGACGGGTATTCCACGTTCAAAAATGGACCGTCCGCTGGAGATATTGAATTCCTGAGTAGATCTTGAGATAAAAATAGCTACAACTCAAAAGGAAATCGAAAGTTGTGAAGGTCAACCGTGGTCGCGCATGAAATCATTCACCTTTTTGATGTTGGAAATACAGCCACAGCAAGCGAAGACCGCACCTCGCACTCCAGAACAACCAACAATTATCACATCATTTCATTAGGCCAATAAACGAACCGCACCGCTCATCGCAGGGGTGGGTTTTTAAATTTGCCAAACAGACGTAAAACCTCTGACAGCATCAGCAGCACCTGGTACCGGAGCTGCTCCGGGCACAAGATCAAGATTCACACACAATTTTCGCTTTTACATCTCAACTAACATCTCAACCCATCGGGCTTCAGCTTCTGTTGAACAGAAGAAGAGGACCTGGTCTGCTCGTATGTTTACATTGTACACTCTGTTAATAACCATAATTAGCTAAGCGCCGGCTACAGTTTAACCCACATTTTTCGCCTTCACCTCAACTCCCTTCCCTCTTTCGAACATCGACTTCGCGTGCGCCGTTATTCGGATCCAGCCTGTCCGACCTAAGCCAACGACGACCGAAAGGGTGAGGAAATGTTATTGAACTTTCCACTTGTTTTCCCTGCCTCGTTAGAGAGTGAGCGGAAGACACCTAGACTGGGACCGAAATTCACACGCAATTATGTAATGCTTCGTCGCACAGTTCGGAACTCATGGAGCGCGCGTGTGTGAGTTTGTATTTGACTTACTTTCGTGATTGATGGACAAGCCGCCGACAACAGCAGCCAAGTGGTGGCAAGCGTGGTGTTGCATGTGTTGGGCTACGGGAAACCGCCCCAAAGATATTATGTACGATTTCTGCACATGTGGCGATGCATATTAGTGCGCCGAAGGTAGGTAGTTGTTCAAATAACAACCAAGGAGAAAACTCGATAATGAAACCAACTGGCTGTCGAACTCTGCTGGTCGTCGTCGTCAATCAATGATGGAACAGCGACGAGCGTAGTTAAGTGATTTTTCCACACGCTTATTGGATTGCCATTACGGTAGTAATTGGCAATGAAATGAGTGCAGTTATTTTCGGTAGCATGTGAAAATCACGTTCGAAAAACCCCGTTTGAGGTGGGCCCAAAAGTCAAGGGAGCTGCTGAATTTGACACCACTCAAAGGAAGGTTACGATTGGATTCAAATGTACTGAGGTGTGGAGGATTGATTTCACGCTCAAGGACAAGCCCTGAATACGGCTTGTGATGCTTGAAGACAAGTCTAGAATATCAACAGGTAAGCCTAGAATGACAGTGGTAAGTCCAGAGTACTTCGAGAGAGCAGTATCGAAGGATCTATTGCAATAAACCCAATGATTTCATGGAGGAACTCAGAAGATGTCTAGAGTAAGGCAATAGGACTTTGAAGGCAAGTGCAAAAAATCTTAACTTCACTGAACGTAGTACAGGGTGGTCACTGAATTCAAGATTTTGAATTTCCTGTTGTCCATATTTTATGATAAGAAAAAAAAAATCGAGCTGTTATTTTTTTTAACAATCCTGGATCCAACAATTGAATAGAGGTTGAAATCGAGCGAAAGGCCATTAATGCGACAGTTGGAAAAGTATTTATTTTAGAAGATTCGTAGAGTTGTTTCCTATCGATTGGTGTATTTGGATTTTAATTTCAACTATAAATGACAAAGTTATAAGCGTTCAAAACCTAACGCCTTTTGGTGACAGTCGTAATTTCAGATTTTAGATCTACCCCCTGAACCTTCCCGTAAGACGTATTCAATAGACTGATGCAAAATTTGAAATTTTCGCTCCACAGTGCTCAAACGGTTCCAAATTGGGCCCTGATTAGCCTCCTAAAGCTTGAACTCATTTAGTGAGAAACTGACTTGGCACAAACCATTTAAAGTTTATATGGAAATTACTATGGGAAAACAAAACTTTTTGTTCATTGTCTTCTAGCCTTTTTACATATTGTACTGTTAACAAACTCAATTGTTATTCTTATGGAAATTTTCATCAGCTACAACTTTGCAGAAAATCGTTTTTCAGCCAAACGTCAAATTAAATAGTTATTAATTGTTTAAGAGATTGATAATCTTATGGCAAGATTAAGCAACTGTATTGTGGGCAACACTGTATTCTGCAGTGTGACATAGTAGCCATGATTTTTGTCCTCTATTCTACGCGCCATAAACACCAATGTTGCCTGCTGAACTGTTGATTGAGCATAATCATAAGGCATCAGTGACTTGGATCATTAATAACTTTTGTTCCTTACATTTGATCGAAAATTGGTTTTGAACAAAGTTATAGCTGAGTAAATTTTCAACAAGCTCAGATATCATTTTTTAAAGTAGAGTGAACTGGTGAATTTTGAGATAGATATGAATCGAAATTATGGTTTCTCCATAGTAATTCCCATATAAACTTCACATGGTTTGTGTCAAGTCAGTTCAGTAAATGAGTTCAAATTTTGGGTGGTTACCCGAGCAAAGTCGGTTAACAAAATGAAAGCAAATCGATATTAAAGTGTGCAGTTCCTATCATAATGAAAACTCATTTTGATTTCAAATGTTGCGACATAAGTCTGATATCATATTGTGCTTTCATTATGCAGTCAAGACGTTTTAAATGAAAGCAACTTAAATTGAAGTTTTGCTGTTTACGTCTTGTTTAAAATTTAATTGAAATTCATCTGTCGTTGAACTAATGATTATCGTTTATCTGATTTGTTTAACACATTTTAGGTCCTTCGTGACTTGCCCGCGGTGAGATTGAAGCCTAAGTCTTTCAGCTTGGGAAACATGAATGGTAACCATTTACTCTAGGCCCGTATTCAGTTAAACATTATGAATGCAAAATCAGTAATCAAATTGATTTCATTGAAAGCAAGATTAGTTTTCCGTTTGCTTCAACAGTGTAAAATTTTGCTCTCATTTTTGCTGTGTTAACCGTTAAGTCAACCAAAATGAGATCAACTGGAGTATTCAAAATAAGTTACATCATAACAGCAAATTTTGATTTCAATTTGATCTTCAGCTTTGCTCGGGTAATCAGGGCCCAATTTGGAACCGTTTGAGCACTGTGGAGCGAAAATTTCAAATTTTGCATCAGTCTAGTATTCAAATTCCGTAGATTTCGGATATTTTGGAACCCCTCTTAACTCAGTCGGTAAATGCGCAAAGCAAGACCATGCTGAAGGTGGCTGGGTTCGATTCCCACTCCGGTCTAGAATTTTTTTCGGGTTGGAACATTTCTCGACTTCCCTGGGCATAGAATATGATTGTACTTGCCGTCAGATTAGCATATCAACAAAAAATTCAATAACCATCTATGATTAGTAATGGAGAGTTAAAATTCCCTAACAAAGACATCAGATTTCAATTCCTAAGACTCATTGGCGTGTCTCATGGGGGAGCCTAGGGGTCAGGCTTTCCGCTAGAATCACCTAGTCACCACACCGAATGTTTTTTTTTTTTCAATTCTAAACCCGATCACCCCGTTTGCAAGCAGATTGAACGTTACTTTCAACCCCCAGCAAACAAAGATGTTTGTTAATGTCCTATATGTAGACTAATTTTCTTGACCTTTACTTTACTTTTTTTAATCTTAGATTAAAATTTATCACAACAAAGGTGAACCGGGAAATCACTCTATCTCTAACAACAAACGTCAGATTGGCATGACATTTTTTCTACAAGTAGAAGTTATTGCAAACTTTCTTCTGTAAAATTTTCACCTTGATAGATAGTGCCATTGATTTTTTTTAAAATCTTGATTTAACGTTTTTCCACAAAAACAGGAAAACGGGAAATCGGTCCAGACACCGAAAGTTCTTAATTAATAACTTTCATAGTGCAAATAGAACACTAAGTTGAGAACACGCAATAAGCTTATGTGATAAGCATTTAGCTTGAAATGCGAAGAAGAAGAAGAAGAAGTAGCCATAATAGTTTTCCCGAATTGAGAAAAACAACTAGATTTGATGAAAAATTATAAAATTTAACATAAATTTCTGAAGATTCTGGGTTTTCATGAAATAGATGAAATGGATTGGGAAAAATAGTAAAATTCAAGCTTTTGATTCTTAACAATCCTGAATATATAAAAATCAAGTTATCACGACAGCAAAACAATGTCGACGAAGGAAAAATATTCCAGACATTGGACTACAAAACATTTTCAAGTTTCTAGAATTTGCAAAAAAAAACAAGACTTTACACCTGACATTTCAACAATTTTCGGACTAAGAATTTCCTTTTCAAGATCTTGGATGTCATGCACTAACACAATTTTAAAGATCCTCAATCCTTATCACTTGTATTGTAAATCCTGGAAACAATTACAAAATCCTAAAAAATATCTTTAACTTTAGAAAACTTTAAAAATTTTAAGGCTTACTAAACTGAAAACCTCAGAAT